ATATATTTTCTGTTGTATTTCTGACTTTATGTTTTTTTACCCCATATGTAACTCTGTGTTGTTTTTATTGCACTACTTTGCTTTATCTTGGCCAGGTCGCAGTTGTAAATGAGAACCTGTTCTCAACTGGCTTACCTGCTTAAATAAAGGTGAAATAAAAAATAAAAAAAAATAAAAAAACATAGATCTCCACACCCTGACTCAACATACAAGAGTCCCATAAGTCAGAGTGTGACACTGGGGCCTTTCAGAACAGGTCTATATATACTGAGATCATGTGACAGATCATGTGACACTTAAATAAAGTCCACCTGTGTGCAATCTAACTAATTATGTGACTTCTGAAGGTAATTGGTTGCACCAGATCTTATTCAGGGGCTTCATAGCAAAGGGGGTGAATACATATGCACGCACCACTTTTCCAGATTTTTTCTTTTTTCACGTCACCAATTTGGACTATTTTGTGTATGTCCATTACATGAAATCCAAATAAAAATCAATTTAAATTACTGGATGTAATGCAACAAAATAGGAAAAACACCAAGGGGGATGAATACTTTTGCAAGGCACTGTAAGTTCAATCACAAAGGCTGGTCTGAGTGCATCTCCTCAGTTTCATTCAGTACTACAACACAATTCACATAGCATTTTATCATGGGCACAGTGGGAATTTACAGTATATCTGTGATGTTTAAATTATGTCTTACCCCAGAGCGAGAGCGTGAGAGAGTACATCACTTCCAGCAGATCTCCTTGCTGAGGGTTGCGTTGATCATGCACTGCTTCTCGTGGGGAGAGCCTGATGTTCCGCATGTCACGCTTCATTACGAAAAAATGGGGAAAAGGGGACATAAAGTAAAAATATCGATGCATCTACAAATTCAATACTTTACACAATATTCTATCATATTTGAAGAGTTACTGACCTGTCCGTCCACAGGCTAGATGTGCTGTAGTCTCCACAACTGGATGCTTGTGCTCGGATCACACTGGCACAGTATGTGAACGTACCGGATGGTCTGAAGGGTGCACTTCTGTTGGACTGGAAAACAAAGAGACATTTGGTCAGTGGTGGGTATTTTTCAATGCTGTATCAACATCTTTATCTGGACAGAAAATACATTGTTTATCATAACACAAACCCACCTTGGACAATGTGACAAGTGGTCCCTCAACAGCCAATTCTCATGCCTCATTGTTTGTTCTTGTTTCCCAATCAACAGTCTGGATCTTCCTCATCTGCCATGGTGGATGAGCTACCTTTTCTGTTAAATACAGGGCCATTTCCCTTTCCCAACGGAGAATGGCAGCTACAGACCCGAGTGTTGTCACTGGGTTTCCGGTCCACCCATCTGAAAGACCAAAAAAAAAAGTTTGTTTTACTAGCTAGCTAAATTGATTACTAAAATGGTAACATCTATATTAAAATACCATAACCCACAGACTTGACTATAGTAACGGTAAAATAGACTGGGCTTTGGTCTATCTGCACATCCTACTATGTGGATGGGACATTTCTGCTGGAATGGAGGACTTATCTGGAATGCTCAACTAGATGATCAGGACAGTCTAGGGTACTATTTGCCCAAAGAGCTGAAGTACTGCGATGAGCTATACAACTGTACTTCTGATTCTCAAGAGGAAAGTTAAAACCCTCAGCCGTGAGGTCCCTGAGGAGGACCAACAGTGATAGCAGGATCATCTGAAAGGGACTGACATGCAGGGATGGAACATAAGGATTTTGGGCACTGGCCAGCAGACCACGATTTCTACATTCAGGTCCTAAATCTGTGGCACGCGATGTTTGTAAAGGCAAAATTTCACTGCTGTGTCAGGCTAGTTTGGCACATTGTCTTCTAGCCCAGTCTGAAAAGTACTAGCCTCGGGCAATAGAATTGTGTTGTGTTAATAAAGCTTATTATAATTACTGTTGTAGGCTTATTATTAGGCACCAAACAGACTATACAGATTTTTCATTTATCAGTAAATCTATATTTCCTTATTATAACTCATGGCTATCATCATAGGATGACAATAAAATAGTTGTTGGCTCAATAATCCACTCTTGTAGAATCTGGCACAAACCAGCTTAGAATGGGAACTGCTGGGCTCTATATTGTATTGTCATTCTACTCAATGACAAGGTCAACAATAAAATCCATCAATATGACTCCTACCAGAAATCCACTGTAAATCCACTGTATGCAACATAACATGTTATGTTGCCTATTATGAAAAGACTGTCAAATTAACCTAATGACTTCTACATAAAGTTTGACTGAAACTGTAAAGTGTGTTAACATGCTCAAAATCCATCTGTGAATAGCGGTAAAAATTCATAAAAACTTCTACCAATGTAATTGTCAACCAGTTTCCCTATTTCACTGACTTCTGACCAATCTTTCATTTTCCCTACCAAGGTTAGATCATCCCCTATCACATCCCCTATCACCACAGAAGGGCCAACCTTCAACTCCCTCAAACCACTCTCATCAGCAAGCTTTCCAACTGTCCAACCAAAACCACTGCCTTGTCTACTAGTATATTCCCAACAGTCATCTAGAACAGTAGCAGTGGGATGATCAACCTCACAGCCTAACACAATAAGTCCTCTGTAGCTCAATTGGTAGAGCATGGCGCTTGTAACGCCAGGGTAGTGGGTTCGATCCCCGGGACCACCCATACGTAAAAATGTATGCACACATGACTGTAAGTCGCTTTGGATAAAAGCGTATGCTAAATGGCATATTATTATAAGCTAAGTTAAAATGCACCAATAAATATCCTTAAAGATACTGAATTCTGTCCAGCCTCTGAAGCCAAATCTTCGCCACTGTTTCATAAACTATACACCCGTAATCTTCCCCAACAAGTCAGCATTTTCTTGATCAGTTACTGCCATTTTCTTTTACCAACAACCAAAACTGGAATTCGAGTGGACTTGCTTCTTCCAGTCATCTTCTTCAACATAGACCATACATCCCCCAGCTCAGTACCCCTGCCTATTGTGGAACAGAACTGTCTCCATACATTTATCTTGACAGACTTAATGACCCTATGTACAAAAGCTCTCTTCCTTTGGAAATCAAGTAGATTCTCAGGAGTCGTATTCCTAATCCTATGCAACACACTGTAAGCCCTATTTCTTTCTCGAATAGCCGCAGTGCACTCTTCAGTCCAGCAAGGAACCACCTTCCTTTTCTCACCCACTTCACTCACTGGTACATATAAATTCACAGCACTCAAAATCTGAGGTCACAGAGGCAGCACATACAGTAACAGTCAAAAGTTTGGACACACCTACTCATTCAAGGTTTTTTCTTAATTTTTACTATTTTCTACATTGTAGAATAATAGTGAAGACATTAAAACCATGAAATAACATATTGCTTGTGTTTCTTGGCCCAAGCAAGTCTCTTCTTATTATTGGTGCCCTTTAGTAGTGGTTTCTTTGCAGCAATTCGACCATGAAGGCCTAATTCACGCAGTCTCCTCTGAACAGTTGATGTTGAGATGTGTCTGTTACTTGAACTCTGTGAAGCATTTATTTGGGCTGCAATCTGAGGTGCAGTTAACTCCAATTAACTTATCCTCTGCAGCAGAGGTAACTCTGGGTCTTCCTTTCCTGTGGCATTCCTCATGAGAGCCAGTTTCATCATAGCGCTTGATGGTTTTTGCGACTGCACTTTCAAAGTTCTTGAAATGTTCCGTATTGACTGACCTTCATGTCTTAAAGTAATGATGGACTGTCATTTCTCTTTGCTTATTTGAGCTGTTCTTGCCATAATATGGACTTAGTCTTTTTCCAAATAGGGCTATCTTCTGTATACCACCCCTACCTTGTCACAACACAACTGATTGTCTCAAACGCATTAAGAAGGAAAGAAATTCCACAAATGAACTTTTAACAAGGCACACCTGTTAATTGAAATGGATTCCAGGTGACTACCTCATGAAGCTGGTTGAGAGAATGCCAAGAGTGTACAAAGCTGTCATCAAGGCAAAGGGTGGCTACTTTGAAGAATCTAAAATATATTTTGATTTGTTTAACACTTTTTTGGTTACTACATGATTCCATATATGTTATTTCATAGTTTTGATGTCTTCGCTATTATTCTACAATGTAGAAAATAGTAAAAATAAAGAAAAACCTTTGAATGAGTAGGTGTGTCCAAACTTTTGACTGGTGCTGTACATCAACCGGCCTCTCTAAAGACAACTCTCCAACAGACTTTAAGCAACGATCACCAAACTTTTCCTAGTCTGCTTTATGAAAGCACCATCTTCTGAATGGTACCCTGTCCGGAATAGTAACATCAAAGTTCATGGTACACGAAATCGGGAAATTATCACTTCCAACAGTAGAATCATTAATTACGTTACATTCACACATAGATGCAATAGAGTTAGAAGCCAGTGTGTGGTCCAGGCAGAATGTAACCACTCAAACAACATAAACTATTGTACCACATCCATCGTTAAAACATACTAATGCTCTTGTTTCCATCATATCTTCCACAATAGTACCATTAGCATCTGTATGTGTGCTTCCCCTTAAACTGTTATGTGCATTAAAGTCGCCGCTCCATATCTCTCTAGATAGCAATTTTGGCACTTTTTGCTCTTGATCCTCCCATTTCTTAAACGCATTGCTCCCCATCCTCCCACTTCTCTCGACCTGTCCATGACAGAAAAGTCATTCAAGCGATGCTACTTTACCAACGACTCCCTCAGTGCCTTTCGTAACGTAGTGATCGTACTCCACATGACCTACTCTACGGGATCAAATATAGTTGTCCAGAGAAGTTACACCCAGAAATTGATGAATCTATGATACAGACATATTTCTATGCATAAGAAAAATGTGCGTAAGACTGGTTTTTGAATTGATATACAAATTCAAGCTACAGCAAAAAAAAAACATTTAACTTTTGTTCATTTTGTAGTTATTTTGTAATGAATCTGCAATTATTTTTTGACAGGCGAACATGTGACAAGGAGGGGTCCTTCGCTTCGGTTGAATGATGTTTGATAGGCTGTGGATTTCATTACTTGCAGTCTCCTTCAATTCGCCCTCCACTCCAGTCCAACCGGTGAAGTCTACAGCGGCGCCACTAACATCTGAAATAAAGTCACTTTAGTTGAGCTCTAGTCCCATATTTTACCGGTAAGTGAAGCAACTAAACTGGCTTTTACTGTAGGTGAACAAGCCAAACTATATATTTTCGCAGTTTATGACCACGCTTGCCCGAGAACTGCCTGACACGCTATCACTAAATGTTCCTAGCTAGCTAGCCAGCCGGTTAGCATTAGCTAGCTATTGAGCTGTGCTGCAGGGACTATTTATGTCCGCTGCACATGTGTGAAATTAAGACTACAAATTAAACTAGGTTACTTTGGAGCAGCTAACTGTGAGTTAGTTAGGAGAGAACTCCAGTATTGTGCGCCAACTCAATCTGCCAACGAACGTAGCTGTAACTAATTTAGTTAGCTTCCTTGGCATGCAATGCATGTCTGGCAATGCAGACGTCCAGCAGGTTACATAGCTAGTTGTGTGCATTGCTGACTATTTTTAACGTGTCGAAACAACTTATACATTTCTGTACAGAAAAGGCACAAGGAGTAGGTACATTGATGTATTGTCCAGAACGTTGTAGACACGCGCTTCTACGCCAGCTAGCTCGCCACAGCAACACTAGATGGTTATTAGCCATAGGATAGGTTGAAATGTTAATGGCTTCTCTCAGTTAACCTTCCCAACCTTTGCTCTGTATGACGTTTGACATTACACTTGCCAGACTTGGAATACCAGTATTTTCCATGTCATTAGCTTGCTAGCTAGCCACTTTAGCTAACGTTAGATACAGAACTGCAATTTACATTTACATTTTAGTCATTTAGCAGGCGCTCTTATCCAGAGCGACTTACAGTTAGTGAGTGCATACATTTTTCATACTGGCCCCCCGTGGGAATCGAACCCACAACCCTGGCGTTGCAAGCGCCATGCTCTACCAACTGAGCTACAGGAGGCTCCCACTATCTGCTAACTAGCTAACGTTACCAGTCAGTCTAACATCTACTGAATGTCATGTGCCTGCTTCATGGCATATGACGAGAACTGAATTGCTTAATTGAAGCATAAATTGTAGCAAGGATTTATGGTTGTCCACTTCTGAAAAGTGTGTACTGACAGGTGAATGTCTTGACACTGTTAGTGTAGAACACTAGGCATTCCTGAACCATATTATAACAGTGTGGTGGACATGGACAATGTCAAATTGTCTCATACAAACTGATGTACTCAACTCCACTGTTATGACAACCACATCATGTCAAAAATGGATTCACTACACAAACACCCCTCGCTTACAGTATACCATATGCTATACACTCATTCAAAGATGAGGCCTCATACGACCTAGGTATGACTGTGTGGTCTTGTAACGGAAAGACCCACCTACCATTGTCTGTCCTACAGACTGTTCTAGGATAATAGTAATGTAGTCTCTGAATTGCACCATACCCAGTTATTGATTAATAGGACAGACTGTGTAGGAGCCAGAACTTGGCTGGAGAGTGGAGCCCTTTCCAGACCCACCCCTACTAGAATTGTTTTATTTTCCTCCACCTGGCCTTGATTGAGTGAGTCATGGAGTTGTGGCCTAGTGTCAGTTTAGATAAGTTGGCCATGCAGACACACAGGCCACTTATCATGCCCACTTGGAGGATCAGCATCTGCAAGGGAACCCATGCTCTGAGCTGATAGAGCTGGCTCCTATACAGACAGTCAACCACGCCCTTTTAATGTATAGTTGGGGGAAAATAAACATATTATCCCAAAGGATGACTAGCTGTTTTGGATGAATAGCTATGTTTATAGACTCAAAATAAACATTGTTTTCTGAAGCAGGCACCCTTGCACAGGCATTTTGTAAACCAAAATATACTCTGACTGTGTAATGTATGCATTTTTTCTCCCTTGCTGCAGGTGTAATGGCAGTGCCTCCATCATATGGTGACCTCGGCAAATCCGCCAAGGACATCTTCAACAAAGGCTATGGTACTGTACCCTTCACTCTGGAACAAATAGGCTATACTGTAGTGGTGGTTGTAATGGAACACCTTGTGTAAGAATAACCATTAGGGTAGGTTTGTTAGAGGCATGCTAAACCAATAGGAGGGATGGGCAGGTGCCCTTTCTATATGTAAGCAATTGATGTGACGTGTTATTTTTGTGTCCAAGGAAAATATTTTATATATAATAATAAAAACAATAAATGCAAAACATTCTTACAGCACATTTCTACATGTTCTCCCCCGGATCAATTATCACACAGCATGAAAATGTTTACAGTTTTGGCGTATCAAAGTGTGAAAATGTAATATGGTGTAACTGTCCGAGGATGAATTTGAACAACGAAAGTGTTGTGAAATAGGTTTTAATTTGTAAGAACTTTGCTTTCTCCCTGAAGGGTTTGGCCTGGTGAAGCTTGATGTGAAGACCAAGTCTGACAGCGGAGTGGTAAGTTTACTTATTTTCTTTCTAATCATTTGTGTACTTTGAAAATGAAAGTAGAATTATATCTACTCACTAAAAAAAATTAAAAGGTACCCAATTGTCATACTTGAGTAAAAGTAAAGATACCTTCATAGAAAATGACTCAAGTAAAAGTGTCACCCAGTAAAATACTACTTGAGTAAAAGTCTAAAAGTATTTGGTTTTAAATATACTTAAGTATCAAAAGTAAATGCAATTGCTAAAATATACTTAAGTATAAAAATCATTTAAAATTCCTTATATTAAGCAAACTTTAAAAAAAAAAAAAAAAAAAAAAAAGACATTTACAAATAGCCAGGGGCACACTCTAACACTCAGACATATTTACAAACAAAGCATTTGTGTTTAGTGAGTCCACCAGATCAGAGGCAGTAGTAGATGACCAGGGTTGTTCTCTTGATTAGTGTGTGAATTGGACCATTTTCCTGTCCTGCTAAGCATTCAAAATTTAAGGAGTACTTTTGTGTGTCAGGGAAATTGTATGGAATAAAAAGTACATCATTTCTTTAGGAATGTAGTAAAGTAAAAGTTGTGAAATACCCCAAAAAATGACTTAAGTAGTACTTTAAAGTATTTTTACTTAAGTACTTTACACCACTGTATCTACTCTACCATTTGTAGAAGTGTATATGTCTTTATGATCGCAGTAATTGTGCAATAGAAGGTAACTTTGAATTTACAACCCTGGGAGCTTGACAGCAGCATAGTTCAATACACTCCTTGATAATAAAAGCCCAAGTGCTTTCAGATATTTTTACGACATTGATTTTTGTTCATATCTTGATTTGAGTCTTTTTACGAATGTTATACAGGAGTTCAAAACGTCTGGCTCCTCAAACACGGACAACAGCAAGGTGGCGGGCAGCCTGGAAACCAAATACAAGAGGTCCGAGTACGGCCTGACCTTCACAGAGAAGTGGAACACTGACAACACCCTGGGAACAGAGATCACCATCGAAGACCAGGTTTGGATTCAACAAAACTTTATTTAAAGTGCTTTTGTAACAATCGGTTAGATTTTGTTGTGTACGGCTGTCTATGAAGCGTCATGATAGCCTTGACACACAATTGGAAAAGGGGATTCAAACAAATAATGAATATCCAATATGTCTTGATCAAATTAAATGCAGGTAGATCAACCTTGAGTTACCAGTCTTGTTCCAACTTTCTGTTCTTGTTCCTTCTAGATTGCCAAGGGTCTTAAGCTGACATTTGACACAACCTTCTCACCAAACACTGGGTAAGATTAGTAATGTACAATTTCAATGCAGAGGACTAGTTCTAGTACTTATAGGATCTATGGGTGCCGATGGTGTGAACATGTAGTCAGTCCAGCACGTAGTGTCCTTACATGAAGGTAACATGATCTGGGGTGCGCAGTCCTTACAGGCACGTGGGCGGATCTGAGGTGACGGGTCAGTCAAATGAACTTTAGTCTGAAATGGCTCTCATCTGTGTAGTATTTATTATCACATCCAAGCCATGGATTGTGTTACTGTTGTTTTTGTGCTTGTATTTGAATGGAGTTGTTTATTCTCCTAGCATTGCCTCCAGACTGCGACCATTTGGTCGCATTTTGCGTTCCTTTGACTTGGCTATCCAACTTGCATTTTTTTATTGGTCGCATTAATGCGAGCTGCAAATTCTCAGGCTATTCCCCCCCCCAAAAAAAAAAATAATAATAATAATATTTGCCCACTAAAACCATTATTTGGTCCAACGGTAGCCTAAAGTGCCTTTTAATATCCGTATTCCTCCATGAAAGTCTGCCCAGCCACTGTGGCTGTTTCTCCTGATTGCATAAGCCTATGTATAGACATCATTGGGTAGTATGCTGCCAAATAAAAATTTAGGGCATTTCATTTACTGTTAGATTAAATTAAAAGACTAACTAGCAGCCTATTATATTTAGCAATCTAGCTAATGAGTTTCCACTTCCTCAGATGATGAATTAGGCTAAGTCATTTTGGGCTATGTGATATTTGTACACACAAAAATAAGCTAGCAAATGAATCTATTGAATAAAATAAATCTGTAATTCTGGTGATCTGCAGTCATTGGTTTAGGTTGCACTTCAAAGTGTCTTGATCATGTGTCCTGCTTGGAGATGTTAGATGAAACCTACTTCTTGAATCATACCATCACCGTAACACGGGACAATTTTGGTGCGACCAAATCATGGGCTGGTGCCACCAACTGAATGTTAGTGGCACCAGGAGAAAGGGTTGGCCTGGAGCCCTGTCCAAGCCCCCGGCCCTACCTCCACTCCTATGCAGTAGTGCCTCCCCAGCCAGTCAACATAGTATTGACTTTCCTGGAAGTGTAAATCATGTGGGGATGGAATATGGCACATGCCTAGTAGTGACACATGGTGGGCAAGTCGAGGAGGGGGTGGTCGTCGCACTGTCACTGCATGTCCACTGAGCTCCGGGGGACGAGTTTCCCCTAGGTACAGATCTAGGATCAGCTTCCTTTATCCTAACCTTAACCGTTAGTACAGAAAATGTGAAATTGACTCAAGATCAGTGTCTAGGGGCAACTTCAACCCACAGAAGGCTACAGCTTTTCAGCTAGTGTCACGCTGCCCAGGCTATTAGTTTAGAACTGGGCTTGGTGTCATGTAACATTAGCACAAGAGGCTCATAAAGTCTGGTTGGTTGTGGTGTGTGTTGGTGCAACTACTATAAGACTTGTTGGCTAGTGTAATGATGATCCAGAAAGACGTGGCTCAGGATTGTTATTGCTTGTGGACTATTGATTATGAACATAATAGTGTATCGGTGAATTATTACTGGAGTGAGGTTTTCCAGCTCTTGGTTTGTCCCAAATGCCTTCATATTCTGTTACGGTTGCTACATTTCCATCAGACTGGCTATATTAAGCCTGAGCTGTTTATATTATGGTTCAGAATGTAGGCTATGGCTAACCAAAGCTGTTTTCCTTTCCAACACCAGCAAGAAGAGCGGCAAAGTCAAGACCGCCTACAAGCGCGAGTTTGTCAACCTGGGCTGTGACGTCGACTTTGACTTCGCTGGCCCCACTATCCACGGAGCGGCCGTCGTGGGTTACGAGGGCTGGCTCGCTGGCTACCAGATGACATTTGACACGGCCAAGTCTAAGATGACCCAGAACAACTTCGCTGTGGGATACAAGACCGGGGACTTCCAGCTGCACACCAACGTGTAATTGAGGGCATACATGTGTTTATTATGAATTTCTATTTAGAATGTTATGAATTTCCAGTGCTCTGCTGTGTACATACAGTACCAATTACCTTCAAAGGCAATACCTTGTCTATTCAATTGTAAAAAAAAAAATATATAAAAATATATACACACACAAAAATGGACATGGATGAATGGACAGAGCTGTAGGCAATATGGTGATGGTTCAACCTGAAAATGATGATCATTGAATATCTAATGATTGAACCAAAGCCCCTATACAGGGCTCAAAATGTCCCTACAGGCCTCCCGAGTGGCACAGTGGTCTAAGGCGCTGCATCGCAGTGCTTGCTGTGTCACTAGAGATCCTGGTTCGATTCCAGGCTCTGTCACAGCCGGCTGCGACAATTGGCCCAGCGCCGTCCAGGGTAGGGGAGGGTTTGGCCGGCAGGGATGTTCTTGTCCCATCGCGCTCTAGCGACTCCTGTGGTGGGCCGGGCGCTGTGCACGCTGACTCTGTCGCTTCCGGGTTAAGCGGGCACTGTGTCAAGAAGCAGTGCGGTTGGGTTGTGTTTCGGAGGACGCACGACTCTCGACCTTCGCCTCTCCCGTGTCCGTATGGGAGTTACAGCGATGGGACAAGACGGTAGCTACCAATTGGATACCACGAAATTGGGGAGAAAAAGGGGGTAAAATACAACAACAAAAAATTCCTACAAACTGCGTAGGAGGGTAAAGGGCTTTATTTCAAACTGGCCTACCGAGAAATACCCTAGTAATGACTGTGTGCAGTTCTCTCCCTTTTCTTGTGTTACAGTAACGACGGTGCACAGTTCGGCGGCTCCATCTACCAGAAGGTGAGCCCCGTGCTGGAGACAGCGGTCAACCTTGCCTGGACTGCCGGCAGCAACAGCACAAGCTTCGGCATCGCAGCCAAATACCAGCTGGACAAGAGCGCCTCCATTAGTGTAAGTACAGAGCAGGAGTGACTCTCTTTGTGCCAGTTTCACAGACAGATTTAGCCTAGACCAGGACTGAAAAGCATTGTCGATGGAGATTTTCCATTGAATATGTTTTTTTTTTTGTCCAGGACTTGGCTTAATCTGTGTCTGGGGAAACCGCCTGTTTTTGTTTTTAGACTGTGTCCTATGTATAGTATATTGCTGTCTTCTACACTTACTACATTGTCTGGCTCTCAAATATCAGAGTTGCTAAGTACATTTCTGACTGCCGTCGTTAGGAACTTTACTCTGCCTTTTGGATTTTAAGTTAATCAATTAATTCTGTATTTTCAGGCTAAAGTAAACAACAGCAGCCTTGTCGGTGTTGGCTATACCCAGACGCTGAGACCAGGTAAGACCTCTCGTTTAAGAATAATTATAATCGTTATCTTATTGGTGTTTCTAAAGGTTATTTTATCATCTGTCACTAGAATAAAGTTCACAGCACTGGTTCGTGTTCCTTTAGTTCTGATGTTAGGACTTTATCCCCCTAGAGTCGATGTCCGCACCCTGCGGAATTCTTAGGATAATAATGAAAATCCCCCATAAAAACCGTCTGTTTAAGCAAGAGATTTTTTTTTTTAGCATATTATAATCTTATTTACAATAAGTGACTCCAAAATGACAAGAAATTAATAGTAAATAATGTATTGGGCAACAACTGTGTAGTGGGGTAATATTTGATATATGCATAATATTATATATTCCTCATGATAAGACTATGCAATTAGCCGGGAGAACTGATATGTATAAAAATACCCTCAAATAAAAGGTGACATTCTGTACTGTCGCCTTATCTAAAACATTTTATTTCAAATCCTAAATGCTGCCGTATAGAGCCACATTTTAAATGTATTAGCTTCTGTCCACATACATAGGTAGGGGAATATACAATGTGGACCCAGAGGATAGCACTAAGTATTAATTAAAACACTTGTTTCCAAAGTGGTCCTCTTGTGTGTTGCACCATTCTCCTCTGTAGCCCACTGCTTTAATGAGCTGAGGGCCAACCCACACGTCATAATACACTACATGACCAAAAGTATGCTCGTCAAACATCTCATTCCAAAATCATGGGCATTAATATGGAGTTTGTCCCCCTTTGCTGCTATAACAGCATCCACTATTCTGGGAAGGCTTTCCACTAGATGTTGGAACATTGCTGCGGAGACTTGCTTCCATTCGGCCACGAGCATTAGTGAGGTCAGGCACTGATGTTGGGCGATTAGGCCTGGCTCGCAGTTGGTGTTCCAATTAATCCCAAATGTGTTGGATGGGGTTGAGGTCAGGTCTCTGTGCAGGCCAGTCAAATTCTTCCACACTGATCTCGACAAACCATTTCTGTATGGACCTCGCTTTGTGTACGGGGGCATTGTTATGCTGGAACAGGAAAGGGCCTTCCCCAAACTGTTGCCACAAAGTTGGAAGCACAGAATCGTCTATAATGTCATTGTATGCTGTAGCGTTAAGATCTCCCTTCACTGGAACTAAGATAGTGAAGCGTGATTCATCACTACAGAGGACACGTTTCCACTGCTTCAGGGTCCAATGGCGGCGAGTAGAAGTAGACATGCTTCTATAAGTGCATGTATACACTCGGTACTGCACCAAAATTGATTTTGAAGATGTTAATACTTTACTGTGGACTCGCACATGGTGAGTGTTATGAGTTTCTAGGGTATCAGGTGATTACGAATGTAAGGATGTACTTAAACACTTTTGGGGAGTTCATAAACTATATTTAATATGGTACCATGGTTAGTTATAACAGACGAAGGACATAGCCCTGCCTCTTCCTAACTCCAGAACAAAGATCCACTCTCTCTCTATATATATATACACTCTGTTACAAGTCTCTCCACAAACATCTGGTAATCATTTACATTTACATTTTAGTCATTTAGCAGACGCTCTTATCCAGAGCGACTTACAGAAGCAATTAGGGTTAAGTGCCTTGCTCAAGGGCACATCGACAGATTTTTCACCTAGTCGGCTCGGGGATTAGAACCAGCGACCTTTCGGTTACTGGCACAACGCTCTTACCCACTAAGCTACCTGCCGCCCCAATCATCATGGGCACTCCCATTCTTTGATGGGCACTCCCATTCTTTCATGGGCACTCCCATTCTTTCATGTTATTACCCTTTACCCCCAAGTCATATATCCTGTCCATCAATTATTCTAAGATCAACATCAGTAATCTCCTTTGACATAACGGAATGTAGACTCTGTGGCAGCAAACCACTTATCTACTAACTCCCCTGGTCCACACAATACTATGACATGACATCATTACAGTGAGAATCTGCAAATGAACTACCGGCAACCAGTCATTTTCAATGAAAGGAGTAGACTCAAAGCGACTGTCGGCTAATAGAGGGAGCTAGCGACCAGACATTCCCAGCGACTGCTGTCATGCGTGCTGTTTAAAGGGGAGATCTCAACGACTTGATCGCTGATTATCTCAGCAAGTGAGTCCCTAGTAATGCAACATCCTATTCAAATCACTTGCTATCGATGTCTGAGTGTTGTTATAGATATACTCATACTCATGCAGTGCTACAGAAGGCTCCAATAGAAGTCTGTTATGTCAAAGACTTGTTTCTCTTTCATTTAAAGATAGGAAATCATGTCTGCTCTATAGGAGATTTATATCTGCAATGTTGAGAATGTTGACACCAGGGATGGAATTTAAGGATTTTCACAAGCCTCTGGCTTGCTTAATTTCCATCCCTAGTTGACACCTATTTTCTTTTCACCCTCATCCTGAATGCGACCCTGACCTTCTCTCTCCCCTGTTGCAGGTGTGAAACTCACCCTCTCTGCCCTGGTGGACGGTAAGGGCATCAACGCTGGAGGCCACAAGCTGGGCCTGGGGTTGGAACTGGAGGCCTAAACTCTCCTTGCGGTGAAGGGAACAAGAGAATATCAGCAGAATCTGGCCTTCAAATGTATTTCCAACTCAAACCAGCAAGGGGATATATCATGGAAGGAGGGGATTTGTTCAGAGGCTACAACAAGAGAAGAAAAAAACACTACCCCGTCATTCTTTGGTGTACATGTTTGCTTTGTAGTTGTTTCCATTAAAAGACACACTTTCAGTGGGTCAATAATTTATACACCTTCTCATTGCGTCTACCCAACACTGCCATGACAATGAAATACACCACATCATTCTCCTCCCAATGTGGCTAGTTGGTCACCTGTGGCTTCCATGTTTATCTCAAGTGTTTTTATTTGATGAGACATCAGATTGTTTAAACGCGGCAGTTGGGTTTGGTCATACCTTTCTGATTTTACAATTTTTAACGAATCATCTAATATTCTCAGTTGTCTGAACGTCTCATTTGCAATTGTGTTATTTGCTAGGCTTCCCCTACTATTTAAATATTGTCGTATACCTTTCCACTCACATGAGGACAAGCTTAAAGCTGTGTTGTACTGTTATGATCTGTCATTCGGCGATCAGGGTTTGAGATGTTATATCAAAGCTGTACATGATGAAGCCCTCACTTAAACTGAGCAGTTTTGGGGTGGCTTGAAACTGAGTCTGTTAGGGGTAAACCATTCATTCTTGGCCGACCTGGCAGGCTTTCTTTGTTTTCTACTGCTGCAGACGACTAAGGGAGGGTTTACTAAGGTTCACAGTAAAGCCGAACTGCCTGGATACTGTCCGGCTTTGGTGTGGTGTACTCTAAGTCAAGTTCAGTGTGTATGCTAAACCAGTGGATTCTTCTGGTCACTTGGCTGACTAAGAACAAGATCACAGGAAACCTGGAAGGTTGTTGCGTGTATGTTTTAACTTATCAATAAAGTATTTGAACTCCAGAATCCAACTCCTTGCTTTTATTGAGATTTAACTTCTCTGGGCTTGGGGTGTCTTGCACATACACTGAGTATACCAAACATTAGGAACACCTTCCTAATATTGAGTGGCACACCCTTTTGCCCTCAGAGCAGCCTCAATTCCTTCAGGCATGGACTCGACAAGGTGTCATAAGTGTTCCACAGGGATGCTGGCCCATGTTGACTCCCCAATGTTTCCCACTGTTGTGTCAAGTTAATAATATAATATGCCATTTAGCAGACTCTTTTATCCAAAGCGACTTAGTCATGTGTGCATACATTTTTATGTAAGGGTGGTCCCGGGGATCGAACCCACTACCCTGGCGTTACAAGCGCAATGCTCTACCAATTGAGCTACAGAGGACCACCTCATCTTTTGTTGGCTGGATGTCCTTTTTGTGGTGGACCATTCTTGATACGCACGGGAAACTGTTAAGTGTGAAAAACCCAGCAGCGTTGCAGTTCTTGAGACAAACCAGTGTGCCTGGCACCTACTACCGTACCCCGTTCAAAGGCACTTAAATCTTGTCTTGCCGATTCACCCTCTGAATGGCGCGCTCACACACAATCCCTTTCTCAAACCTTAAAAATCCTTTAACCTGGCTCCTCCCCTTCATCTACACTGATTTGAAGTGGATTTAATAAGTGACATCAATAAGGGATCATAGCTTTCACCTGGTAAGTCTGTCATGGCAAGATCAGGTGTCCTTAATGTTTTGTGCACTGTATATTTCATATGTATAAATGCCATCAACCAACGATTGCTTGCCTCGTCATTGACTGCAGTCTGGTATCATATTTCTAAATATGTGGTTAGCTGATATCTTAAACCCCTATCAAGGCGTGCAATGTACATTGACCAAAAATATAAACGCAACAATTTCAAGGATTTTACTGAATTACAGTTCATATAAGGAAAGCAGTCAGTTGAAAAAAATGAATTAGGCCCTAGTCTATGGATTTCACATGACTGGGAATACAGATATGCATCTGTGGGTCACAGATTCCTTAAAAAGAAAAGTAGGGGCATTGATTAGAATACCAGTCAGTATCTGGTGTGACCAAGATTTGCCTCATGCAGCGTGACACATCTCCTTCGCATAGAGTTGATCAGGGTGTTGATTGTGGCCTGTGGAATGTTGTCCCACTCCTCTTCAATGCCTGTGCGAAGTTGCTGGATATTGGCGGGAACTAGAACACGCTGTCGATCCAGAGAATCCCAAACATGCTCAATGGGTGACATGTCTGAGGAGTGTGCAGGCCATGGAAGAAAACGTTTTGCTTCTAGGAAGTGTGTACAGATCCTTGCGACTTTGGGCCGTGCATTATCATGTTGAAAGATGAGGTGATGGCGGAGGATGAATGGCACGACAATGGGCCTCAGGAACTCGTCTCGATAAAATGCAATTGTGTTCGTTGTCCGTAGCTTATGCCTGCCCATACCAAAACCCCACCGCCACCATGGGGCACTCTGTTCACAACGTTGACATCAGCAAACCGCTTGCCCACACGACGCCATACACGCCATCTGCCCGGTACAGTTGAAACCAGGATTCATCATTGAAGAGCACACTTCTCCGGCGTGTCAGTGGCCATTGTAGGTGAGCATTTGCCCACTGAAGTAGGTTACGACGCCAAACTGCAGTCAGGTCAAGACCCTGGTGAGGATGACGAGCATGCAGATGAGCTTCCCTGAGACGATTTCTGACAGTTTGTGCTGAAATCCTTTGTTTGTGCAAACCCACAGTTTCATCAACTGTCCAGTTGGCTGGTCTCAGACGATCCCGCAGGTGAAGAAGCAGGATGTGGAGGTCCTGGGCTGGCGTGGTTATACGTAGTCTGCGGTTGTGGATGGATTATCTTGGCAAAAGAGAAATGCTCACTAACAAGGATGTAAACAAATGTATGCACAAAATCTGAGAGAAATAAGCATTTTGTGCGTATGGAAAATGTCTGGGATCTTTTATTTCAGCTCATGAAACATGGGACCAACACTTTACATGTTGCGTTTATATTTTTGTTCAGTATAGTTGGCCTGGAAGCTGGCTTATAGACTACCTCACATGGATAACCTTTGAGTCCAGAGGGTAATAGAGTGTGAGGGTCAGTCAAACAATGTGGTGTGTCAGCAACACGCTTTCAAAGCTTATGAATTGAGGGTCACCTTATCCAGATACTTTGGTCTATATAAAGACCTGACTATAAAGCACTTTTATAAGCAACTGGGTGACCCTAAAGTACCTTGGTTTCATCATGGGGACACTGATGTAAAGACAAAAGCCTTTTTTTTACTCTTAAGTTGACTGGTATGTGATGCATCTTATCAGGTGGAATACAGCACAGCAAGTTAGAGTAGCTGGAAATAGTATTTATTTCTTGGCTCATTCAGGCATTATCAAATCACATTATCAACCATGCACATTATCATCCCTATTCACATTATCATCCATTGGGCAGAAGAAAATAGATACAGCAAAATACAGCTTTTGATTTGTTACATTCAATATTACAGTACATCTCTCGCAGGAGTTCATTAATTGTGCCTCATAATTGACAGTCATGAATTATGATACTGTACATATTAAGCTTCAGTTAATCTTTTAAGGTGGAGCAGTTCTCATATTGCTTTCAAGGCTTGCACTAATCATGCAGGTTTACAGAAAACGTATACAGATCCCTAAATCTGGTTATTCTAAAAAGAGGTTAAGTCCCAGGTTTTAGGTTTAGCTTGCTTTTCTGCGATTGGCTCAGCAGCTAGCCCTGTTGATGTCTTCTTCGCAGTTTTGTCATCTTTGCTCTCTCCATCACCTCCTGTAAAGCCGTTCTCATCTATTTTAGATTGTGCCTCTTCTGTTGTCTTCCCGTCAACAGTTTTCTCTTTCAAACCCATGGCTGATACATCCTGTTCTTTCATTGGCGATGTCTTTGTAACAGACATCTCTTCAGAGGCCTTGGTCTTCACGTTCTCTGTCTTTGGGATTTCATCGTTGGGATCAGTAACCTTCTCAGGCTCTTTAGCCATACTTGTGCTGCTCTCTGGTGCCTCTCTGTGTGAGTCCTTGCTCTTTGCAACGGCAGGCAACTGTTTCTCTGGTGGTGTGACTGTCTCAGCTTTGTCACCACTGCTGATCGTTTCACTCTCCTCTGTAGGGGTGGTCATTGATTCTGGGGTGATGATTAAATTAGGTTTAGGGGATATTTCATCTTTAGGGGTGATGGTTGGGGCTGGTTTTGATGTTTCTTCGTTAGGGGTGACAGTTGGGTCTGGTTTAGGGGATATTTTATATTTTGGGGTGATGGTTGATTCTGGTTTAGGGGAGGTCTCCTCTTTAGGGGTGATGTTTGGGGCTGGTTTTGGGGAAGGTCCTTCTTTAGGGATGACTGCTGGTTCTGATTTTGGGGATGGTTCTTCTTTAGGGGTGATGTTTGGGGTTGGTTTTGGGGAAGTTTCTTCTTTAGGAGTGACTAATGGTTCTGGTTTAGGGGATGGTTCTTCTTTAGGGGTAATGGTTGGGTCTGGTTTTGATGTTTCTTCTTTAGGGGTGAATGTGGGGTCTGGTTTAGGTGATGTCTCGTCCTTGAGGTTGACCATTGGGTCCGGTTTTGGGGATGGTTCTTCTTTGGGGGTGACAGTTGGCTCTGGTTGTGGGGTTGTTTCCTCTTTAGGGGTGATAGTTGTTTCTGGTTTAGATGATGTATCAGATTCTTTCACTTTTTCCTCAGCTGTTGAGACATCTTTTGTGAACTTTTCACTGCCATTAGATTCAATCTGCTCAACAGTTTTTACACTATCATCCTTGCTGCTCACTTTTGGCTCTGTCGGACCCACCTCCTTTTCAGGAATCTTTGGCACAGGCTCTTCCTCACACTCTGTTGTTGTGCTGGGAATTCCGGCTGAAATTTTACCTTCTACTGTTTTGTCATCCTGTGTCGTTTTTACACCAGAATCATGTGGTGACCTCACCTGTTCCCATGTCTCCTTGGTTGAGCTGCTTTTCAGCTCTGCAGTGATATCAGGGGATTTCATGTCCTTCTCTGTGGGCTCAGGGAGATCCTCTTCTTGTGTTGTCACAGCACTCTCTGCCTCTTGGAATTGGTCTGACTCTCTGTGCTCCTTCTGGTCAGGCTTCTGCTCCAGTGCTGGGGCACTCTGCTCTTTCAGATCTACCTCTTTTTTCTCTTTTGATGGGCTTTCTTTTTTGCTCTCCTCTGACACCTTTTTGGGCTCTTTGGAGATATCCTCTGTGGGAACCTGTGGTCCACCCTTTATTGAACTTTCTGTTTGAATATCCTCTGACTCTGAAGTTTTTGGTTCTATGGAGATGTGAACCTTCATGGGAACCTCTGACTTGTCATGTTTTGGGGTGTCATCTATTTCTAATGTCTCCCCAGCATATTTTATCTCACTATCTATCTCTTCTGTTGTGTCCAGTTTTTCCTTCTCTTCCTCACTGGTGGCCTTAGCTGATTTGACTTCACTTTGTGTATTGTCACCTGTGTCAATGTCCTCTGTCTTTTCAACTGCATCTGGCTCATCTCTCTTTTCCTCCTCTCTTTCGTCATCTCCTTCCTCTCCATTTTCTCCCTTGCTAGGGCTAACTCCATCTCCATTTACCTCGACCTCTGCTGATGTTTCTATCTGCTGTCCCTTAGACTCTTCCTCCTGTCCCCCCTCTTCCTCTGGGGCGTACACTTTAAGATCCACTTTATCTACATCTTCCACTTTCTCCTCATCCTCATCTTCCTCACTCCTCCTCTCAGCTTTGTCACTCTCCTCTCCCTGCTCCTCTCCCTCTCCCCCAGCCGTCTCCTCAGAGCCTGTCTCCTCAAACTCGGACTCCACCTCTCTGGTGGTCTCAGTGATGATCTCCTCTACAAACTTGTACTGGGGCTCAGACCTGCGTGTGGGCCCTCCCTGCCGGGCCAGGGAAGGCAGGGTGTATACAGGGGACTGGCGGTAGATGTAGGGCATGGAGATCTGGGTGTCAGAGATGGTGGACATATGGGACTCCTCACCCTCCAGGAGTTTCCTATAGGGAGACAGAGAGACAGTTAGGCGTTATTACCATCATGACAATAATATGGATATGTCCCAATGTGTGTAGATGTGTCTCAATATCCATATTATGACTAAAGTGTCATTGTGTATTGTGATATGAGCCATGGTCTGTTCATTTGATATGTTAAATATGAAATCAAACTACCGGTATTTCAATAAAATGTCTACTGTTTCTTTCTTAATTGTTTTCATTATTAACTGTGTCTGTAGTAATCCCTCACTAACACTATGACAGTTTTGCACATTTTCAAATGTGTTAGTGCTGGGGTAGAATAAAATGTGCACCTCCTGGTTATCTCCAGAAATAGACACTATAACATATATGATATTTTCCTTTGTCAAGGATATTATATGGCTAGAATTTGATATTCAAAATGACAAAAACAAGCTCCACCCACACAAGCTCAATCAGTTGCCTAATCTAGTGAGAGAGACAGAGTTGATGTCTCTTACCTGTAAGAGAGAATCTCCCCATCCAAAGCCATTTTGACATTCAGCAGGTCCTGGTACTCTCTCAGGTGGCCAGACATGTCTAGTTTAGCATTGGTCAGCTCATTCTCCAACTGCCTGACAGTGTCCTGGACAGAAAAACACACAAATAGAGTCAATAATTTACATCAGCCACTTTGGTTGGTATGATGTCAGGGGTCATCATACAAATGCATATGTTTATTTACAATTAATTATTAGCGGTACAAAATAAACCACAGCCTACCTGGTAATGAATCATTTCCGAATAGTGACACTCCTCCAGCTCATGTAGTTGTTTTTCCAGGGCCTCTCTCGTTCCTTTCGCGCAGTCCAGTTCAATGTTCTTCCCTTGGAAGCGCCTTCTGTTCTCCTGGATCTCCTGCTTGGTTGCCTTCAGCGCCTCTCTGTTGCTCTCTGCCGCTTTTGTCAACTTTGCGAACTGGACACGGAAGCCCTCCTCCGCCTCCTGGATGTCGGAGGCGGCGTGACCTTCCAACTGCGCACGGATATCCCGGAGAGCCGCAGTGATATCGGGTTTGACAAAGGCGTGCCCCTCGACCTTCACCTGAGCCTCTTGGATCTGGGCCACCATCTCCAACACCTCTTCCTCATGGTTCTTCTTCAGGAAGTGGATCTCGTTCACCAGAGACTGCGCTTTCTTGTCCAGCTGAAGTTTGGCCAGGTACGCGTCGTTGGCGTCCTTTTTTAGCACCAGGATGCCTTTCTCTGCATCCGTGCGTTCACGAGCCTCCTGGTCGTACTTGTCTCTCAAGGTGAGGAAGTCTTCCTCCAGGTTCTGATGTTCTATAACGATCTGACGCTTCTGAAGGGTGATGTCATGCACTAGTTTCCTCAGATCCATAAGCTCCGACTCGTGCTCCTGTGCCAGAGATGCAGGGGACTGTGCCTTCTGTTTGATTTCCTCGATTTCCCTCTCGAGCAATTCATTTTGATGTTCCAAATGACGCACCTTCTCTATGAACCCGGCGAAACGGTCGTTCAGCCCATGCAGCAGTTCTTTCTCATTCATTTTCGTCAACACCCCGGTAAACGGGTTTGATAAATCTAAAAAGCTCTCCGATGATCTCGGAACCGATCCGAATTCACTCTTCAGCTTCGTCGCATATCCTCTGTTCATTAATGCGGTAGTCGACTCAAAGCCTATAACGGTCCTGAACGTCGAGGGGTATCCGGTCAGTTTGGGTTGATAGCGGGAATAGTCAGCTTGAGCTCCCCTATGCGGAGAACCCGACCGATACTCAATTTGGTGGCTCATATTGCCTCAGTTGTCTCAGCGGTGTTGGTGTGCTGTGCAGGCTAAGTAGCGCTGCTCCTATCTTTTATACCCCCTCTGTCCGCTCGCGCTGCAGAATGGAACTGTCCATAGTGCTGAAAATGTATTGAATCAGCTGTAGGCTTGACTGCCTGCCAACCCCCCCCTCTCTCTCTACTTCATTGTTTTGTCGCAGACAGCAGTGATGTAGCCTATAGGAGAGCATTTCCCTTTCAAACGTCTGTAGTCTACAATGACACCTCAAAACCACAAGTCACAAGTCTTTAATACGTCTTTAATACATTTTAAGGTGTTCAGACTATTGTTTTATCCAAGGGGCTATAGCTTTCCTTGTTTTGATGATTTTCCTAATATTATGGAAAGGGGTTGTACATTCTGGTTTGGCTGAATGTGCTTTTCTTGTAGTAGAACTGTATATTACTGTATAGGCCTACAAGAGACTACTGTAATGCAAGTGTAAAATAGTAATGCAAGAATTACCCTAGGCCTAGACATAACCACTCCCATTTCTCAGTCAAGCAGCACTTTTAACCTTGCACCTTTTTATAAATGTCTACATGAGGAAAATGCACAAGTCTGCTTGGCTTGGCACAGACAGGCTGGCTGAAAAGCCAGAAATCAGGCAAATGGCCTGGATGTGTTCCAGTGATGCAGCGTCCTTCACACCTCACTACAAGCAATGTTTTACTATATGTAGGTTGCTTCATATAAATCTGTGATATATTTGAGTGAATAATATGAATATGATATCAGATGAAGGATAGCCTTTTACACTATTGATCAGACATGAAACCCTCATAGAGAGAGAGAATAGTACATGTAAAATGTTTACTGTCATTGGTTGCAATATGACAAAACAATGTATCAGCAAATATATTTTTTATTGTGAAATAGTGTATCTTCACAAAAATAAGCACTTAATTAACTCCTGGTCACTTTTCAGATGTATGTTAGAATACCATGCACAGTGATTCACATATTTTCAAAAATGTCATAGGCAAAATGTTTATATTTAAATATATTATATTTATATATATTATATATATTTATTTCTATTTGAGCGGCAATGTAGTATTTTATTCGTCACCCCTAATTCCCCTCACCCCATCCCCTATAAAAAAAAGTGTATGTAAAGTGCTTTTAGACCAGGTGAAGGTCAGTCAGTATATACACATGACATAGACTGACCAGGTGAATCCAGGTGAAAGCTATGATCCCTTATTGATGTCACTTGTTAAATCCACTTCAATCAGTGTAGATGAACGGGAGGAGACAGGTTAAAGAAGGATTTTTAAGCCTTGAGACAATTGAGGCATGGATTGTGTATTAAAAAAAAAATGTAAAAAAAAAAAAATGTGTATGTGTGAATGGAGGGGGGGGGGGGGGGGGGGGGGGGGTGTAACTCAACATTAGGAAGGTCTTACTAATGTTTGATGTACTCAGTGTATATTCAATTCATTATCAGTAAATTATTATTATGAATGATCAAACATGTAGAAAGTAAAGAGCTGTTGATGGTAGACCCACAGCGGAAGGCTACTCATGATGAAGTCGACTATGGGGGGCCCAGTGTCAGTGCCGTCACCCCAGCGTCCTCCACATTAAAAACCCCTATCTTGAATGAGTCAACAAACTCTCTAATATCATAAGGGTCATCTCTTCTCCTCTCCCTGTTAACCCTCAGCACTTTGAGCAGCCTTCTTCTACACTGACTCCATTCAGATGATATGTTATAGAGCCTCATGCCCTCCTTGTAGTGGTTGACAGCGGTTCTCTCAGAGCCCAGGCGGTAGAGCTGGACGTCCCCATACATGCGGTGCCAGGCCTGGCGGTCGGAGGGCTTCAGGTCTGACCGGGACCACAGCTCCTGGAACTTCTCCATGGCCTTACTGGTGTCCTTCAGCTCTGAGTACCTCACAGCCAGCTCCAGCTGGGGGATAGGGGGAGATTATGTTTTGTTTCGGTATTATTACCATAACTCAGTGATGAATAAAGTATTTGGATATCACCTGGGTTAGAGTCGAGAGGAGAATGGATTTGGTAAATCAGTGTGTGTGTATCACTGTGTGTGTGTGTGCGCATGCATGTATGTATCTCTAACCTGTGGGTAGATGTGTGTGTGTGAGTCCTAACCTGTGGGTAGATGTGTGTAGGATTGAGGCGTGCCCCCTCCTCCAGATGGATAACACAGCGTTTGAGCAGTGTTTGGTCGTGGGGGTCTCCACTCTGCTTAGCCTTCCAGCGGTAGTTGTTGGCTATCTCGTGGTGCAGGCGGGAAGAGTTTGGCGCCCTCTGCAGCATCCTACGCAGCACTGCCAGGGATTCATCATAACTCTCCTCCTTTTTCATGAATCTCCCCACCTAGGACAGGTGTTCAGAAAGCAGAAAACAGGAGAAACCCATTTTAAATGGAGTGAAACAGGAGGCATAACACTTTGTGCATGCCCTACTAGTACACATGACCCTGGACAGTCATGTACAGACAGAAACTGTGCATTCTAAATCCAAAATACCTATAGGTCCAAGACATCACAGAATTATTACATTTACATTTTAGTCATTTAGCAGACGCTCTTATCCAGAGCGACTTACAGTTAGTGAGTGCATACATTATTTTATTTTTTGTATTTTTCATACTGGCCCCCCGTGGGAATCGAACCCACAACCCTGGCGTTGCAAACGCCATGCTCTACCAACTGAGCTACATCCCTGCCGGCCATTCCCTCCCCTACCCTAGACGACGCTGGGCCAATTGTGCGCCGCCCCATGTGTCTCCCGGTCGCGGCCGGCTACGACAGCCTGGATTCGAACCAGGATCTCTAGTGGCACAATTATGTGACGTAGTCTTAGAGCATCACAATGCTTTTTAGTCTAAACATCTCTCCCCACCTGTAGTACCACACTGAGGTCGTAGGGTGCCAGACTCAGAGCCTTCCTCATATAGCCCCAGGCCTCTGCGTTCCTCCGGTTCTTGTAGCACTTCAGGCCCAGGTAGACCCTGGTCATGGCGCTGTCTGGGTTGAGCTCCAGGGCATTCTTCAGCTGTTTAACAGCAAGGGAGTCCTCATAGGAGAGCCTCTGACCCTCCCTAGTCACCAGGCCCTCCAGGCGGAACAGAGAGAAGGCAAAACCTGAGTTCCACTCCTTATCTTCAGGCTCCATCTGCAGAGCCTCCTGAAAGCACTCCTTGGCTCTAAGGAGAGGAGAAGGGAAGAGAAGAGAGGAGAGGAGCGAGGGGAGAGAAGAGGGGAGGAGAGAACAGGAGAGGAGGGGAGGGTAGATGAGGGAGAGGGGAGGAAAATGGACAGAAAGGAGAGGAGATGTTATTGATTTCCAAAAATGAAATCAGACTAAACAGTACATGAAGCCAACAGTCAGCAGTCAGCCTTTTATTACAATATACATGAGAAATAATTAATCTAGATACCTTGTGTAGTGGTGCTTTGAGAACTTGAGGAGGGACCAGGCCTTCTCACTGTGGAGCTCTCTGGGAACAAGCAGGACAGAGGTTGAGGCTGTGGCACTGGCCTGCAGTACAGAGGTGGATGCTGTGGCAGAGGCCTTGTGTACCTCCTCCAGCTTCTGAATATACCCTTCTGCTCTTATGTCATCTCCAATGTGATGGCAGACCCAGGCCAGGTTTCCATACGTCACTACACACAGCCTCTCGCCATGAGCGTTTTCCCTCTCTGCCTTCTCTAAGCATTCCAGTGCTCCCTCATCTTCACCTTTCAGGTGTTTAATATAAGCCAGCAGGTTTAAACTGTGCCTCTTCAGATTGCCTTCATAGCCCTCCTGAACTACCTCCAGGGTTTCATGTAGTTTTATCTCCAGGAGGTTGAGGTCAGCTTGTTCCTTGTTTAGCTCCCAGGTGAAGTGACATTGCAGTTTCTTTAGGTTCTTTTCAAGGGTTTTCTCACTGTCACTGAGAATGATTTAGAGACCATTTAAACACAACAGTAATTTAGCTGTTTTTATATCAATATCAAATCATTTAAGGGTAACAATGAAGTTCCTTACTTTAATAGATTTCCATTAAAATGGGCAGCTAAAACCATTTAGGCAAAAAAAAAGAATTCTCAAGCAATAACTTTGCTAGGACTGTCTTGGAGAGGTCTGAGTGGGGAGAGGGAAACTGAAAACTAGATGTTATTGGCAGAGAAGTTTGGAACACTTGTTCTTATTGGTCTATTACCAAATTTAGCGCCAAAACTCCCGCCCATGAAAACCTGCTGATTAGAATGTCCTGTATAGATTGTATCTTTCTACCAGCAACTATCAGGAAATAACACTGATCAAATGTTTTCACACTTATGCAGTTTTGTTTCATCAGCTGTTGTACAATATGAAATAAAACACAAGAAAAAGTACAGTTTGACTGCACTGGGCCTTTAAAGTTCATAGCAAATAAATGTATTACGCAATGAGAAGAAAGCATTTTCAATAAAGCAAATTATGCATAAATGTCACTTAAAATTATTCCCTCAAATAGTGATGATAATGCACTAAAGAATGAAACGATTGCTTACCTAGGGCTAATTTCCTAACATATCATTTTCTAAAATACAAAAATGAAATTGTAACAAAAAAATTATACCCTCAAACCTCCCATAACTTACCTCATAATTCAAGTCAAGACTTGTTTGTTGAAATGCCAGCTGTCCCTGTTCAGATGAAGTGTGTTGACTGATAGAGGCTGTGTCTTTTATTGCTGTCAGTTAAGTTTCAGTTTCTATTACAGGGATCACAGTAAAATGAACATTTATGTCAGCCAATGTTAACCACACCCATATCTCAAACTATAATCTAGAGTGCCTTCGGAAAGCATTCAGACCCTTGACTTTTTCCACATTTTGTTACGTTACAGTCTTATTATTAAATTGTTGAAATTGTTTTTTTTCCTTCTCAATCTACACACAAGACCCTTTACTCAGTACTTTGTTGAAGAACGTTTGGCAGTGATTACAGCCTCGAGTCTGCTTGGATATGATGCTACAAGCTTGGCACACCTGTATTTGGGGATTTTCTCCCATTCTTCTCTGCAGATCCTCTCATGCTCTGTCAGGTTGGATGGGGAGCGTTACTGCACAGCTATTTTCAGGTCTCTCCAGAGATGTTCGTTCGGGTTTAAGTCTGGGCTCTAGCTGGGCCACTCAAGGACATTCAGAGACTTGTCCCGAAGCCACTCCTGCATTGTCTTGGCTGTGTGCTGTAATGGGAAATTGTATTGTATCACATAATTGAGTATGTGACTAACCTTGTGAAACTGTGTGAAATTGTCCTATTATCTCCTGTTCTTGGGACTATAATCCTGTGTTGCAAACCAGCTGCACCTGTGTCCTTGTATAGATAAAAACGGAACAGAGTTCCGCCCAAGAACAGAAACTATAAAGATATGTGCTTATCGCCCAATGCTTCGGAAAATTCAGACTGTCTACACTGCGCTGTGTAACTCTGTTTATTTCTCTCTGAGCTCAGAAAAATAAAGAATCTTACTTTGACTTGGACTCCAGCTAATCCTTATTTTATAATATCCACCACAGTGTTTAGGGTCGTTGTCCTGTTGGAAGGTGAACCTTCACCCCAGTCTAAGGCCCTGAGGTTTTCATCAAGGAGCTCTCTGTACTTTGCTCCATTAATATTTTCCTTGCTCCTGACTAGTCTCCCAGTCCTTGCCGCGTGAAAACATCCCCACAGCATGATGCTGCCACCACCATGCTTCACCGTAGGGATGGTGCCAGGTTTCCTCCAGACATGACGCTTGGCATTCAGGCCAAAGAGTTCAATCTTGGTTTCATCAGACCAGAGAATCTTGTTTCTCATGGTCTGGGAGTCTTTTGGTGCCTTTTGTCAAACTCCAAGGGGGATGTCATGTGCGTTTTACTGAGGAGTGGCTTCCGTCTGGCCACTGTACCATAAAGGCCTGATTGGTGGAGTGCTGCAGAGATTGTTGTCCTTCTGGAAGGTTCTCCTATCTCCACAGAGGAACTCTAGAGCTCTGTCAGAGTGACCATCGTGTTCTTGGTCATCTCCCTGACCAAGGCCCTTCTCCCCTGATGGCTCAGTTTGGCCGGGCAACCAGCTCTAGGAAGAGTCTTGTTGGTTCCAAACTTCTTCCATTTAAGAATGATGGAGGCCACTGCGTTCTTGGGGACCTTCAATGCTGCAGAAATTTTTTGGTACCCTTCCCCAGATCTGTGCCTTGACACAATCCTGTCTCTGAGCTCTACGGACACTTCCTTCGACCTCATGGCTTGGTTTTTTCTTTGACATGCATTGTCAACTGTGGGACCTTATATAGACAGGTGTCTGCCTTTCTAAATCATGTCCAATCAATTGAATTTAACACAGGTGGACTCCAATCAAGTTGTAGAAACATCTCAAGGATGATCAATGGAAATAAGATGCACCTGACCTCAATTTCATGTCTCATGGCAAAGGGTCTGAATACTTATGTAAATACGTTTATTTTTTTAATTTTTTAAAAATACATTTGCACATATTTTGTTTTTAAATTTTAATACATTTGCACATATTTCTAAAAATCTGTTTTCACTTTGTCATTATGGGGTATTCTGTGTTGATTGCTGAGGATTTTTATTGTTTTAATCAATTTTAGAATAAGGATGTTACGTATCAAAATGTGGAAAAAGTCAAGGGGTCTGAATACTTTCCGAAGGCACTGTACGATCCCTTATTGATGTGACTTGTTAAATCCACTTCAATCAGTGTAGATGAAGGGGAGGAGACAGGTAAAATAAGGATTTTTAAGCTTTGAGACAATTGAGACATGGGTTGTGTATGTGTGCCATTCAGAGGGTGAATGGACAAGACAAAATATTTAATTGCCTTTGAACAGGGTATTGTAGTAGGTGCCAGGCTCACCGGTTTGTGTTAAGAACTGCAACGCTGCTGGGTTTTTCACACTCAAGAGCTTCCCGTGTGTATCAAGAATGGTCCACCACCCAAAGGAGATGACGTTGACTGTGGGTGGCCCAGTGTCAGTGCCGACACCCCAGCGTCCACCCCATTAAAAACCCCTCTCTTGAATGAGTCAACAAACTCGCTAAGATCATAGGGGTCATCTCTTCTCCTCTCCCTGTTAACCCTCAGCACTTTGAGCAGCCTTCTTCTACACTGACTCCATTCAGATGATATGTTATAGAGCCTCATGCCCTCCTTGTAGTGGTTGACAGCGGTTCTCTCAGAGCCCAGGCGGTAGAGCTGGACGTCCCCATACATGCGGTGCCAGGCCTGGCGGTCGGAGGGCTTCAGGTCTGACCGGGACCACAGCTCCTGGAACTTCTCCATGGCCTTACTGGTGTCCTTCAGCTCTGAGTACCTCACAGCCAGCTGGATAGGGGGAGATTATGTTTTGTTTCGGTATTATTACCATAACTCAGTGATGAATAAAGTATTTGAATATCACCTGGGTCAGAGTCGAGAGGAGAATGGATTTGGTAAATCAGTGGTAATAGTGTGTGTAGCTTCCCTGTCCTGTGTGTGTGTATCACTGTGTGTGTGTGTGTGAGCATGCATGTATGTATCTCTAACCTGTGGGTAGATGTGTGTGTGTGAGTCCTAACCTGTGGGTAGATGTTTGTGGGATTGAGGCGTGCCCTTTCCTCCAGATGAATAACACAGCGTTTGAGCAGTGTGGTCATGGGGGTCTCTGCTCTGCTTAGCCTTCCAGCGGTAGTTGTTGGCTATCTCGTGGTGCAGGCGGGAAGAGTTTGGCGCCCTCTGCAGCATCCTATGCAGCACTGCCAGGGATTCGTATTACACAATGAGAAGAAAGCATTTTCAATAAAGCAAATTATGCATAAATGTCACTCAAAATGATTCCCTCAAATAGTGATGATAATGCACTAAAGAATGAAACGATTGCTTACCTAGAGGTAATTTCCTAACATATAATTTTCTAAAATGCAAAAATGTAATTGTAACAAAAAAATTATAACTTCAAACCCCCCATAGCTTAACTCATAATTCAAGTCAAGACTTGTTTTTTCAAATGCCAGCTGTCCCTGTTCAGATGAAGTGTGTTGACTGATAGAGGCTGTGTCCTTCATTACTCTCACTTAAGTTTCAGTTTCTATTACAGGGATCACAGTAAAATGAACATTTATGTCAGCCAATGTTAACCACACCTATATCTCGAAATATAATCTACAGTGCCTTCGGAAAGCATTCAGACCCCTTGACTTTTTCCACATTTTGTTACGTTACAGTCTTATTATAAAATTGATTAAATATATTTTTCCCTAATCAGTCTACACACAATACCCCATAATGACAAAGCAAAAACAGATTTTTAGAAATTTTTGTACATTTATAAAAAATATAAAAAAGGAAATATCACATTTACATAAGTATTCAGACCCTTTACTCAGTACTTTGTTGAAGCACGTTTGGCAGTGATTACAGCCTCGAGTCTGCTTGGGTATGACGCTACAAGCTTGGCACACCTGTATTTGGGGATTTTCTCCCATTCTTCTCTGCAGATCCTCTCAAGCTCTGTCAGGTTGGATAGGGAACGTTGCTGCACAGCTTTTTTCAGGTCTCTGAAGAGATGTTCGATCGGGTGCAAGTCTGGGCTCTAGCTGGGCAACTCAAGGACATTCAGAGACTTGTCCCGAAGCCACTCCTGCATTGTCTAGGCTGTGTGCTGTAATGGGAAATTGTATGTGTTCACATAATTGAGTATGTGACTAACCTTGTGAAACTGTGTGAAATTGTCCTATTATCATCTCCTGTTCTTGGGACTATAGTCCTGTGTTGCAAACCAGCTGCACCTGTGTCCTTGTATAGATAAAAACGGAACAGAGTTCCGCCCAAGAACAGAAACGATAAAGATATGTGCTTATCGCCCAATGCTTCGGAAAATTCAGACTGTCTACACTGCGCTGTGTAACTCTGTTTATTTCTCTCTGAGCTCAGAAAAATAAAGAATCTTACATTGACTTGGACTCCAGAAAATCCTTATTTTATAATATCCACCACAGTGCTTAGGGTCGTTGTCCTGTTGGAAGGTGTACCTTCGCCCCAGTCTGAGGTCCTGAGCACTCTGGAGAAGGTTTTCATCAAGGAGCTCTCTGTACTTTGCTCCATTCATCTTTGCCTCAATCCTGACTAGTCTCCCAGTCCTTGCCGCGTGAAAACATCCCCACAGCATGATGCTGCCACCACCATGCTTCACCGTAGGGATGGTTCCAGGTTTCCTCCAGACGTGACGCTTGGCATTCAGGTGAAAGAGTTCAATCTTGGTTTCATCAGACCAGAGAATCTTGTTTCTCATGGTCTGAGAGTCTTTAGGTGCTTTTTGGCAAACTCCAAGGGGGATGTCATGTGCGTTTTACTGAGGAGTGGCTTCCGTCTGGCCACTACCATAAAGGCCTGATTGGTGGAGTGCTGCAGAGATTGTTGTCCTTCTGGAAGGTTCTTCCATCTCCACAGAGGAACTCTAGAGCTTTGTCAGAGTTACCATCGTGTTCTTGGTCATCTCCCTGACCAAGGCCCTTCTCCCCTGATGGCTCAGTTTGGCCGGGCGGCCAGCTCTAGGAAGAGTCTTGGTGGTTCCAAACTTCTTCCATTTAAGAATGATGGAGGCCACTGCGTTCTTGGGGACCTTCAATGCTGCAGACATTTTTTGGTACCCTTCCCCAGATCTGTGCCTTGACACAATCCTGTCTCTGAGCTATACGGACAGTTCCTTCGACCTCATGGCTTGGTTTTTGCTTTGACATGCATTGTCAACTGTGGGACCTTATATAGACGGGTGTCTGCCTTTCCAAATCATGTCCAATCAATTGAATTTAACACAAGTGGACTCCAATCAAGTTGTAGAAACATCTCAAGGATGATCAATGGAAATAGGCTGCACCTGACCTCAATTTCATGTCTCATAACAAAGGTTCTGAATGCTTATGTAAAAATGTTATTTATGTTTTTTATTTTTAATACATTTGCAAAAATTTCTAAAAACCTGTTTTAACTTTGTCATTATGGGGTATTCTGTGTAGATTGCTGAGGATTTCTATTGATTTAATCAATTTTAGAATAAGGCTGTAACATATCAGAATGTGGAAAAAGTCAAGGGGTCTGAATACTTTCCGAAGGCACTGTATGATCCCTTATTGATGTCACTTGTTAAATCCACTTCAATCAGTGTAGATGAAGGGGAGGAGACAGGTAAAATAAGGATTTTCAAGCCTTGAGACAATTGAGACATGGGTTGTGTATGTGTGCCATTCAGAGGGTGAATGGACAATACAAAATATTTAATTGCCTTTGAACAGGGTATTGTAGTAGGTGCCAGGCTCACCGGTTTGTGTTAAGAACTGCAACGCTGCTGGGTTTTTCACACTCAAGAGTTTCCTGTGTGTATCAAGAATGGTCCACCACCCAAAGGAGATGACATCGACTATCTGTGGCCCAGTGTCAGTGCCGACACCCTAGCGTCCTCCCCGTTAAAAACCCCTCTCTTGAATGAGTCAACAAACTCGCTAAGATCATAGGGGTCATCTCTTCTCCTCTCCCTGTTAACCCTCAGCACTTTGAGCAGCTTTCTTCTACACTGACTCCATTCAGATGATATGTTATAGAGCCTCATGCCCTCCTTGTAGTGGTTGACAGCGGTTCTCTCAGAGCCCAGGCGGTAGAGCTGGACGTCCCCATACATGCGGTGCCAGGCCTGGCGGTCGGAGGGCTTCAGGTCTGACCGGGACCACAGCTCCTGGAACTTCTCCATGGCCTTACTGGTGTCCTTCAGCTCTGAGTACCTCACAGCCAGCTGGATAGGGGGAGATTATGTTTTGTTTCGGTATTATTACCATAACTCAGTGATGAATAAAGTATTTGGATATCACCTGGGTCAGAGTCGAGAGGAGAATGGATTTGGTAAATCAGTGGTAATAGTGTGTGTAGCTTCCCTGTCCTGTGTGTGTGTATCACTGTGTGTGTGTGTGAGCATGCATGTATGTATCTCTAACCTGTGGGTAGATGTGTGTGTGTGAGTCCTAACCTGTGGGTAGATGTGTGTGGGATTGAGGCGTGCCCTTTCCTCCAGATGAATAACATAGCGTTTGAGCAGTGTTTGGTCGTGGGGGTCTCTGCTCTGCTTAGCCTTCCAGCGGTAGTTGTTGGCTATCTCGTGGTGCAGGCGGGAAGAGATTGGCGCCCTCTGCATAACACTGTGCATGCCCTACTAGTACACATGACCCTGGACAGTCATATACAGACAGAAACTGTGCATTCTAAAGCCAAAATACCTATAGGTCCAAGACATCACAGAATTATGTGACGTTGTCTTAGAGCATCACAATGCTTTTTAGTCTAAACATCTCCCCACCTGTAGTACCACACTGAGGTCGTAGGGTGCCAGACTCAGAGCCTTCCTCATATAGCCCCAGGCCTCTGCGTTCCTCCGGTTCTTGTAGCACTTCAGGCCCAGGTAGACCCTGGTCATGGCGCTGTCTGGGTTGAGTTCCAGGGCATTCTTCAGCTGTTTAACAGCAAGGGAGTCCTCATAGGAGAGCCTCTGACCCTCCCTAGTCACCAGGCCCTCCAGGCAGAACAGAGAGAAGGCAAAACCCGAGTTCCACTCCTTATCTTCAGGCTCCATTTGCAGAGCCTCCTGAAAGCACTCCTTGGCTCTAAGGAGAGGAGAAGGGAAGAGAAGAGAGGAGAGGAGCGAGGGGAGAGAAGAGGGGAGGAGAGAACAGGAGAGGAGGGGAGGGTAGATGAGGGAGAGGGGAGGAAAATGGACAGAAAGGAGAGGAGATGTTATTGATTTCCAAAAGTGAAATCAGACTAAACAGTACATGAAGCCAACAGTCAGCAGTCAGCCTTTTATTACAATATACATGAGAAATAATTAATCTAGATACCTTGTGTAGCGGTGCTTTGAGAACTTGAGGAGGGACCAGGCCTTCTCACTGTGCACCTCTCTGGGCACAAGCAGTACAGAGGTGGATGCTGTGGCAGAGGCCTTGTGTACCTCCTCCAGCTTCTGAATATACCCTTCTGCTCTTATGTCATCTCCAATGTGATGGCAGACCCAGGCCAGGTTTCCATACGTCACTACACACAGCCTCTCGCGTTTTCCCTCTCTGCCTTCTCTAAGCATTCCAGTGCTCCATCATCTTCACCTTTCAGGTGTTTAATATAAGACAGCAGGTTTAAACTGTGCCTCTTCAGATTGCCTTCATAGCCCTCCTGAACTACCTCCAGGGTTTCATGTAGTTTTATCTCCAGGAGGTTGAGGTCAGCTTGTTCCTTGTTTAGCTCCCAGGTGACGTGACATTGCAGTTTCTTTAGGTTCTTTTCAAGGGTGTTCTCACTGTCACTGAGAATGATTTAGAGACCATTTAAACACAACATGCTATAAATATAATCCATTTAATCAGAGTGGCGCAGTGGTCTAAGGCACTGCATCGCAGTGCTAGCTGTGCCACTAGAGATCCTGGCTCGAATCCAGGCTCTGTCGTAGCCGGCCGCGACCGGGAGACTCATGGGGCAGTGCACAATTCGTCCAGGGTAGGGGCGGGAATGTCCAGTAGGGATGTAGCTCAGTTGGTAGAGCATGGAGTTTGCAATGCCAGGGTTGTGGGTTCGATTCCCACGGGGGGCCAGTATGAAAAAAATATAAATATTGTATGCACTCACTAACTGTAAGTCGCTCTGGATAAGAGCGTCTGCTAAATTACTAAAATGTTAATGTATATAACTTTTTCAGGCAGCAATTCTGTGGAGAATCATATCTAATAAGTGAGTGGCGCAGTGGTGCAAATCTCATACCTGAGTGGCGCAGTGGTCTAAGGCACTGCATCGCAGTGCTAACTGTGCCACTAGAGATCCTGGTTCGAATCCAGGCTCTGTCGCAGCTGGCCGCGACCGGGAGACTCATGGGCTGCGCACAATTGGTCCAGGGTAGGGGAGGGAATGGCCGGCAGGGATGTAGCTCAGTTGATAGAGCATGGCGTTTGCAACGCCAGGGTTGTGGGTTCGATTCCCACGGGGGGCCAGTATAAAAAATTAATAATGTATTCACTAACTGTAAGTTGCTCTGGATAAGAGCATCTGCCAAATGACGTAAATGTAATAAAATAATTGAACCTGAACTACATTAGAGGTAGGGGGAGACAAGTGAGGAGGAACAGTGAGGTGTTCAGAATGACAGGTGAGAGCATTACTAGCTCTTACAGTGTCATGTCAGAGTTAGATGTTCATCCATCAAATTTCGAAGTGTTTAAGGTTTAGGCATTAACTCAAACATGTTTAAGGTTAGGGTTAAGTTTAGACATTAACTCCGAAATCTTAAGGTTAGGCATGAACTCCGAATGGTTAAGGTAAGGGTTAAGGTTTGGGATTGACTTAAAACAAAAATCTAAAAAAAACAGCTTTCTATCGCTGGATTCGAACTTGCAACTTTTGGACCATTTCCCATACATTGCAAATGGGGTTTCTAAACCAACCCGGATGTAATGTAATTCTGGCCACTGGTTGGTTTTGTGGCGCTGGTCTGATTTCCCATAGGGAAGACTGTAAACAGTAAGAGGTGCACATTTCTTCGCCCAGCACCAGTCACTGAGCTAGCAAGCTGAAGTTAGCTAGTGAGTCACAGAAATTTACTTTCAGCCTGTTAATTATTTCAGTCCGATTGGATTTATTTTACTAAACCAGCATGGCTTAACATGGATAGATAATCTGATAGCGACGCTAGGTAACCTATGTGGATGCTTCCATCTAGTTCCCAAGAGTAGCAGACCGCTACGCTAAGTAAACTTTACTTTCGAACTTTGTAATAATCTGTACATTTGTTTTACATGCATCATACTAGCTAACTAGATATTTTGTTAAAAAGCCTGTTGATGTCGTTGGTTGTTTCTTTGGAGCTAGCTAGCTAAGCTATCACTAGCTAGCTAAGCTATCACTAGCTAGCTAGGTGGTTAATGTGGTGTACAGTAACGTTAGGCTACAGTACCGTTACTACTGAATGACAGCATTATAGCCTTGTTAGTAGTTGGTTGATATGGGCTACAGTACAACATTACTAAAGGATAACAACGTAGCCTTGTCACTAGCTAGTAGTTGGTTGATGGGGTGGGGTACAGTAGGCTACAATACAGCAACAATACCCTTCCTACTGGTCTGTTATTCGTTGGGTCTGGTAATGGTTAAATTAGCTAATATTATAGAGAGATCACACATGAATGCAGCTGTGGTGGTGTCACATTGTCTTTATCCATACCATAGCTGCTGCTATGGTTATGCCTTTTACTTGAGAGCTGTGCCCTCTTTGCCAGGTCTACCTTGAAAAAAGTATGTTATTTTTGACCTGCTAAAATAAGCTAATGGTTGTGTGCACTCTCACAAGATCGAATTGTGTGGTTCAGTGGCACATTTTCAAAAGAAAACAGACATATACAGTATATCATCAGCAATTCTCAATCAGATGAGATACACAACTAACCCAAATTGAATTTCATTCATTCATAAATGTGGGCACAAATTATTGTTAATATTCCAATACTCTAGGCCCGCCATTCCCAAACCTGAATAGTTCAGCACCTCAGGAGTAAATGCCAGTTGGCTCTTCATAGCTGAGCATTTAGAGTTTGAGACAGTAGGTCCGGTAGAGAGAGAGCGGATCAAACAGCAGGTCTGGGACAAGGTAGCACTTCCGGTGAGCCCTGAGCAGGTCAGGGTTCCATAGCCGCAGACAGAAACGTCAGAGACTGGATCAGCAGCACGACCAGGTGGACTGGGGACAGGGACAGCCAGGAGTCATCAGGCCAGGTAGTCCTGAGGCATGGTCCTAGAGCTCAGGTCCTGCATCCTTTATTTAATTTAAGTGTAGACTAAGCCCTAGAGGTCTTGTAACTTCACATGATTTAGCCTACTTGTAGGGTAGGCAACAACACATCTGCACGCTGATCCTCAACATGGGGGCCCCTCAGGGGTGCGTGCTTAGTCCCCTCCTGTACTCCCTGTTCACCCATGACTGCGTGGCCAAGCACGACTCCAACACCATCATTAAGTTTGCCGACGACACAACAGTGGTAGGCCTGATCACCGACAACGATGAGACAGCATATAGGGAGGAGGTCAGAGACCTGGAAGTGTGGTGCCAGGACAACAACTGCTCGCTCAACGTGATCAAGACAAAGGAGATGATCGTGGACTACAAGAAAAGGAGGGCCGAGCACGCCTCCATTCTCATCGGCAGGGCTGTAGTGGAGCAGGTTGAGCGCTTCAAGTTCCTTGGTGTCCACATCACCAACAAACTATCATGGTCCAAACACAGCAAGACAGTCGTGAAGAGGGCACTACAAATCCTATTCCCCCTCAGCAGACTGAAAAGATTTGGCATGGATCCTCAGATCCTCAAAAAGTTCTACAGCTGCACCATCGAGAGCATCCTGACTGGTTGCATCACTGCCTGGTATGGCAACTGCTCGGCATCCGACCGCAAGGCGCTACAGAGGGTAGTGCGTACGGCCCAGTACATCACTGGGGCCAAGCTTCCTGCCATCCAGGACCTCTATACCAGGTGGTGTCAGAGGAAGGCAAAAAAAATTGCCAAAGACTCCAGCCACCCTAGTCATAGACTGCTCTCTCTGCTACCGCACGGCAAGCGGTACCGGAGCGCCAAGTCTAGGTCCAAAAGGCTTCTGAACAGCTTCTACCCCCAAGCCATAAGACTGCTGAGCAGCTAATCAAATGGCTACCCGGATTATCTTAAAACTTGATTGATTGTCATTATTTGATATCCTTTTTACTGTACACTGTTGATAGTCATTTTTTCCAAAGCTAATAACTGAATGTCCTACTACAAGGATGTGGTCAGGTTGGCCCGTGTAGCTCAGCTGGTAGAGCATGATGCTTGCAATGCCAGGGTTGTGGGTTCGATTCCCACAGGGGGCCAGTATGAAAATGCATGCACTCACTAACTGTAAGTCGCTCTGGATAAGAGCGTCTGCTAAATGACTAAAATGTAAATGATAATGGTTGACACGTCTAAGTTACAATAACACAGAACACACACCACAGATTGCGACGGCAAGTACAATGAGCAGTTGGGAAAATGAAGTCTGCTGTGTGGTTGCCCGATACACACACAAACATAATACTTTTTTTGTGTTGTATTTATTATGGATCCCCATTACAGCTACTCTTCCTGGGGTCCAGCAAAATTAAGGCAGTTATGCAATTTAAAAACATGACTACATTCACAACAGATTTCACAATACATTAAGTGTGTGCCCTCAGGCCACTACTCTACTACCACATATCTACCACACAAAATCCATGTGTACGTGTGTGTATAGTGCGTATGTTATCGTGTGTGTGTGAATGCATGTGTCTGTACCTGTGTTTGTGTCTCTTCAGTCCCCGCTGTTCCATAAAGTGTATTTTTATCTGTTTTTTAATCTAATTTTATTGCTTGCATGAGTTACTTGAAATGGAATAGAGTTCCATGTAGTCATGGCTCTATGTAGTACTGTGCGCCTCCCATAGTCTGTTCTGTTTAGGTTAGTGTGTAGTCAAGGCTTTGTCATTAAAATAATATTGTGCTTGTCTTTCAGATCTGCCAACCAGGCTCGGTGGGTGACAGGTAACCATGTTTCCACCAAACTGTTCCAGGCCTGCAGTGGTATGCTGGAACCTCCAGAGGCTTGTAGACCTGAAGCAGTGGGATGTGGTCCAGGTAATTATCACACACACATACAGTGCGTTCGGAAAGTATTCAGACCCTTTGACTTTTTCCACATTTTGTTACGATACAGCCTTATTCTAAAATTGATTAAATAAATAAAAATCTCATCAATCTACACACAATACCCCATAATGACAAAGTGAAAACAGCTTTTAGATGATTTTATTAAGCACATTAAAAAAATTATAATACAAATAACTTATTTACATAAGTATTCAGACCCTTTGCTATGAGACTCGAAATTGAGCTCAGGTGCATCCTGTTTCCATTGATCATCCTTGAGCTGTTTCTACAACTTGATTGGAGTCCAGCTGTGCTGAATTCAATTGATTGGACATGATTTGTAAAGGCACACACCTGTCTATACAAGGTCCCACAGTTGACAGTGCATGTCAGAGCAAAAACCAAGCCATGTGGTCGAAGAAATTGTCCGTAGAGCTCCAAGACAGGATTATGTCTAGGCACAGATCTGGGGAAGGGTACCAAAACATTTCTGCAGCATTGAAGGTCCCCATCGTTCTTAAATGGTAGAAGTTTGGAACCACCAAGACTCTTCCTAGAGCTGGCCGCCCGGCCAAACTGAGAAATCAGGGGAGAAGGGCCTTGGTCAGGGAGGTGA